GATTTTCTGAGACTGTAACTCTTTACTGGTGTAGAAAGCCCAGTCTCTTTCCTTCAGGGCAGCTGATGGTTTCAAACTGCTGATGTTGCAGTTAGCAGCCCAAATCATAACCATGACCCCACCAGGGCTCCTTCAACAAAATACACATGGGCATAGTTCCTCAACATGCAACCTTGTTCGCTTATCCCATTTGCTGTACCTGGATCAGAACAGAATATAATTCGGCACTAGTTGCAAACTACATTTTCAAGGGTCTTAGCTCTGTCGCAGGCCAATTTGATGCCAGAGTGCCTTAGGCCCCCTGGAGAGTCTGGTTCGAGTTTGACTTGAATCCAGGGATTTCACTATACTCTCCATGGATACTGACCTAAGCATAATGTTCTATGGCAGAGGACCACTGCCTGGGTGGGGTGCCAGAGTCTATATTTCTGAGTATATAACCAAACTATGTTACACTCCAATACAACTTTATTAAAGACTGAAGCTCTCCACCAAGCCTGGAGGACGATATCCCCGCTCAGAACAGCCAATGCACAGAGTGGACCATATGGCTGGTCCCACTATGAGACACGACGTCCCTCACTCACCCATGACCCTACAGGGGACAACACTGGAGACTCAGTGTCGGGACTGGCCTGGTCTGACCCCACCACACCAAGGCAAAACACTAAGGATGTGTGGCAGAGCAGCAGGGGGAGCAGAGCAGGGAGGTCCTGAGGGAGTGCAAAGGGTAGACTTTGGGGCCAGGGTGTGGCACTCCTTTGGACTCGACTGGAGGACACTCCTAGAGGTCAACAAACAGACTTTGAACTATTTACAGGTTTTTCCTTTTGTAAAAAAAAAATTAAATTAATTTATTTGTTGGTCATTGGTTTTTTTGTGTGTGTTTTCTTTTGTCGCTTTGTCTTGCTATGCCTTGTTTTTTTGTGCATATTATTATCTCTGCAGGTCTATCTAGATAAGATAGGCTGGATGAACAGTCTGCAGAAGAAAACAACGGGACTGATGGTTCTGGGGAGGAAAGTGGGAGAGGGGGAGGTGGGGGGAAAGGAGGTAGTGTTGATGAACTCAGGGGCAAGGGAACAACAAGTGATCCAAACTTAGTGGCAAGGAGGGTGTGAGAGACCTGGTAGGGATTCAGCAAGGGCAATGTAACTGAGAGAAATTACTGAAACCCAAATGAAGGCTAAGCATGAATACAGGAAAGAACTAGGAGGCAAAGGACATTTATAGAGGTCTAAATACAGGCAGGTACATATGTAAATATATTTATATATGAGGGTGGGGAAATAGATCCATGTACATATATTTAAAGGTTTAGTATTAAGATAGCAGATGGACATTGGGCTGCCACTCAAGTACTCCCTCAATGAAAGAACACTTTGTTCTATTAAATTGGCATTCCATGATGCACACCTTCCTAACACAATCACTGAAGACAAATGTGTGCATAAGCAAATGTGGTGAAGAAAGCTGATGGTGCTCGGCTATCAAAAGAGATAGCATCTGGGATCTTAAAGGCTTGAAGGTAAACAAGCAGCCATCTAGCTCAGAAGCAGTAAAGCCCACATGGAAGAAGTACACCAGCCTGTGTGACCATGAGGTGTCGAAGGGATCAGGTATCAGGCATCAAAGAGCAAAAAATCATATCACTGTAAATGAGGGGGAGTACAGATAGGGGACCCAAAGCCCATCTGTAGGTAACCGGACACGAGCCAGTCAGCGTGCAGTTTAGGAACAATGAAACATACAACTTACCTCTAATTCTTAAATGCTTCCTCCCCCCACCCCACTATCATGATCCCTATTCTACCTTACAAATCTGGCTAGACCAGAGGATGTAAACTGGTACAGATAGGAAATGGAAACACAGGGAATCCAGGACAGATGATCCCTTCAGGACCAGTGGTGAGAGTGGTGATACTGGGAGGGTAAAGGAAGGGTGGGGTAGAAAGGGGGAACCGATTACAAGGGTCTACATATAACCTCCTCCCTGGGGGATGGACAACAGAAAAGTGGGTGAAGGGAGAAGTCAGACAGTGTAAGATATGACAAAATAATAATTTATAAATTATCAAGGGTTCATGAGGGATAGGGGAGTGGGGAGGGAGGGGAAAAATGAGGAGCTGACACCAAGGGCTTAAGTGGAGAGCAAATGTTTTGAGAATGATGAGGGCAATGAATGTACAAATGTGCTTGATACAAAGGATATATGTATGGATTGTGATAAGAGTTGTATGTGCCCCCAATAAAATGATTCTTAAAAAAATTAAAAATAGGCTGAAATGCTATTCAAAACTAAAAAATGAAAACCACAGAAACTCAGAGTAGAACTGTGCTCTACACAGTCTTTACAGGCTGCTTTTGGGGGGAATAAATTGCCAGGCCTTTCTTCCAAGGCGCCTCTGAGTAGGTTGGAACCTGTAGCCTTTCTCTTAGCAGCTGGGTGTACATTGTTTGCACTACCTCGGGGACTCTGGAAACTCTACGAGTGTCACACCAACCTGGGCTTCCTTTTCAGGTGAACTCCAAAACTACTATCCCAAATCAATGCCCATGGCGGCAGCAGCCTGGAAATCAAACTGGCCTATGGAATTGGGAACATCTGCCGGGAAAGACCTCTTTCAAAGGTTAAAGAGCAAAGAGGTCACTTTGAGGACTAAGATCTTCCTGACTTAAGCCACAGTCATTTTAATCACCTCATATCCATGTGCAAGCTGGACAATGAACGAGGAAGAGGGGAGTTGAATTGATACTTTTAAATGTGGAAGTTGGTCAAGAACCTTGTATTCACCATGGACTGCTGGAAGAACCAGCAGAAAGATGAGGCTTTCATATAATCCAGCTTCCCTGATTATCCGGTCAGCACACTGACTGGATAAGTATGAGGCTTTCTACTCTCCTAAAGATGTGCAGTCCTGGATTCCCACCAGGATGGTTCTACTCTGTAGGGTTGTTCTGAGTTGGAATCTACTCAACGGCAGCGGGTTTATTTGTGTTGGGGTTGAGCCAGAAGAACAAACAACTCTTAGCTTGGAAGGTCCTTAAAATTGAGGATGGTTGTGTCTCATGTTCTTTGGACGTGTTATCAGGCGGGACCAACCACTGAAGAAAGGAATCATGCTTGTAGAGCTTGACTGAAAAAGAAGAAGATCCCAGTGGGATGGACTGACACAATTGACCGACAATGGGCTCAAAGATGTGCAGAGTTCATGACCTGGAAATGTTCTGTTTTGTTGTACATAGGTTGCTAACTAGACGGCACTTAATAAGAACCATCAAGTCCTTTATTAAGTTATGGACTTCTGGGACACTGCAGTTAGGAGGAAGGTAATATTTAAATGTGTCCTGCGGTGGTACAAAGATCACTGTGCTAAATGGTTTCTCTAAGTAAGCTGATTAAGCAATTGGCTTATTCCAATTACTAATCAGGGAACTTTTCTTCTTTTTCCCAGGCAAGTAGCAATTGTTAAGTAGTGGAAAACACAATTTTTTGAAGGACTTGCACCTTCTAATAAGTTTGCTTTAATATTGCCCCCTAACCTCCCCCACCTCCACCCTTTATGCTTTCACATAATGCCTTTCTTTTGAGAGATTATGTGATGCTCTGTAAAGCAGGTGTGTAAGTTTCCTGGTTTCCCACCAGTGAATTGACACCTCATCCTTCTGAGACTGAACTTGCCTGAGTTTCTCAGTGATGAAATGAAGAGGTAGACCAGACGGCAGTTTGATCCGTTCCAGTTTTAACTTTACAGCCACGTAGAGGGAGGCAAAGAGCATGGTTTCTGGAGTTGGGCAGACCTAGTCTGGGATTCTAAGCATCAGTTTCCTCAACAGTATAATGTAAGAGGGTAATGCTAATTCCTACCCCCACCCCCCGCCCCCAAGGTAAGAAAGGAACCGAGCATAGGGTGTGGTATTAAAAGGCATTCTAGAATGGTGAGTTATCCTAGCTTCCAATGCCCTCACCACATCATTCATATCATTCAACCCAGCCCTGGTTAGGCATCGTCTCACTAAAAGAGCAAGAAACTTCCTCTCTGGCTTTATCCAAGGGCAATGACTAGCCCTCTGGGAAGGGGAAGCCATTTGCCCAGGGTAACAGGTTCTCCATTTCTTCCTCACGCAGATTACCACCATCATTTCCAGCCTGGTTGAAACGTGGGAACAGAACGGAAGGGGTCACAAGCAGTAGACATACACTGGAGGCTCTCGGGAGCACTGCAGCAGATCCCCAAAGTCTTCTCCTTTGGGATCAGGTGGGGTCTCCTTCTCTACAGTGATACGCCCGGGTGCTAACAACACATGAGGGCTGGAAGCAGCGGGGAAGGCTGCCTTCCAAGGAAAGGCACACAGCCAACCAAGCAGCAGAGGGGAGAACCACTTCCCAGGATCCTTGGCTATCACACTCAAGGTCCTCGGCATTGCATTGTAGCTGGTGACTACGAGGTCAGCAGTTCGAGACCATCAGCCTTCTCAGGGAGAAAGATGGTGCTTTCTACTTTTGTAAATAGCCTTGGCAATCCACAGGGACCATTTTACCCTGCCGTATCAGGTCACCGTGACTCAGAATTGACTGGATTGGCAGTGAGTTTGGTTTGTTTAATTGATAGTATTGGTGAAGAGTTTAGACTTTGGAAGTAGGCAGGCCTGTCTCTCTCTCTCTCCTCCCTTCAGCTGGGCACCCGCGACTTGAGACTTTCCCTTCCTCACTGGCCTCATCCATAAAAGCCAAATTGGAAACCCTTCCTGTTGGGAGGATTACAAGGAGGGCACTAGGCACAGTGCTTACCAGTGCCTGGAAGAGAATATCATTCAGAAGTTGGTCGTTCTAATGATCACTAATCAGACTTCCAAAGCAACTTGGTCAGACCCTTCCTCTATACTCCCGGGTCCCACCCAGAGCCCTCACCATCAACCCCCCTACACGACGCTGCAGTTGGTCTGCCAAGGCGCCTAGCCGCTTCAGTGCCAGGGTGCGGCGCGTCTCCGGGGCTCACCTGGCGCGGCCAGCAGCACCTTCGCTCCGCAGCACTGGAAACAGTGCAACAGGGACTTCGCGCGGATGTGGTAGTTGAGGCACGCCATGGCACAGCCCAGCTTGGCCAGTCCCAGCCACAGCCACACGTAGGCGGGCTCGTTGCCCATAAAGAGCGCCACGCAGTCCCCCTGGCGCAGGCCCAGGTGGTCGCGCAGCGCCCGGGCCACCTGGTTGCTGCGCCGGTCCACCTGCGCGTAGGTGAGCGTCTCGTCGCCGAAGAGCAGAAAGGGCTTGTGCGGGCTCCGGCGCGCTCGCTCCAGGAAGAGCCGCAGCAGGGTGCGCACCGGCCGCCGGTGCCCGTAGCTGCGCACCCGGCGCGCCACGCCGGCCACCCGCAGGAAGTAGCCCATGTCCTGGAAGAAGTAGGGGCAGCAGAAGTTCAGCAGCAGCGGCAGGAGCAGCAGCCCCGCC